GTAAAAGACAATAAATCATCCTTTAACGTATCTAATTCGCTTTTAAATTTACTAATGTTTTCCAATTGTACTTCTTGCCACTGTTGTTGACTTTCCTGTAGTTGCTGCTGGCTTTCTTCTATGTTTCCTTTCTTGTTCCAATTGCCACTGCTGTAATCTCTCTTCTTGTTTCTTTTTTCGTACTTCTTGTTTCTTTTCTTTTTCCTCCAACAACTGCTGTAATATCTTTTCTTGTTTATTTTGCTGTTCCAGCTGCCACTGTTACAGGTTTTCTTGCAAATGCTGTAATCTTTCTTCTTGTTTCTTTTCTCGTTCTTCTTGTTTCTTTTGCTGTTCTTGTATTGCTGCCATCAAGTCTGCTAAGCTGTAATTTGATTTGCCGTTTCTCGTTTCCATTTTTTTTCGTCCCACTCTCTGACACCAATTAGTTACGTTTCCATTCGTTAGTTAATTTTCCGTAAACATTCTTCCCGAAGAATCTTACCGATACAAGTCCTTTCTTAAATAAAACTGGTTTATTCTTTTTGAATACAACTTGCGATACACTTAATTTCAACAGTCGCTCTATAAGAAACTCTATAATTCACAACGAACTTCCCACGTGCTCAACAATATTCTTACTCATTCCCTTACGTTGCTTCTTGGCCGGTCTTGTATATATACAAGACTACCCCAATCTAGTAGTCTCTCGACATTTCATTGAGGTTCGAAAAGGAAGTGGCGTGATACTAGCGTCACGTGACCTGCGTTGTCGTAACAATATTTTACTATCAAATTTCAAAGAGCTCTCCTTGTGCAAGTGTATCGGTAAGTGATAATTGTTTTTGCTTGAGAGTTGTTAATTTCATGTGTATTTTAATTAAATTGGTACAAAGTTACTGCAACCTGTTGCAGCCAGTTCTAACTACAGCACTGTTATATAACAATAGGCCTAATAATAACATAAAAACACGTTAGGCTGCAAATCTTCGTACTTTCCTCTAAATTTGTTCGTTGCACATTTCAAATCAGAGGTTCGTAAAACAGGTTTTTTATATTTATCTCCCTAAATAACTACATGCGAATCTTTTCTTTCAATACTAGAACTCGTCAGTTGACCTGAACGGTGAGAGACAAACATAGGCGTCCGGAATAGTGAATTGAATAAAAAATTCACATACATATGCTGATTGAATAAAGAAAGAATTATAATGCTTGGAGACGGCTTGAATGGGTAATGAAGAAAGTCTTTAATATAAGTTTAACAGTAAGTGTACATCGTTTCGACAAGGTTTAGTCATCATCATCATCGAAAAAGAAAGAATTATGTTTCTCATTTTCCAGTGGAGCAACTGCCCCACCCCCACTGTACTGATCTGATATGCTATATTTATACATCTCTGATTTAAAATCCTAAATGAAAAATAAATTAAAAATTATATGAAAAAAAAGAAGCGTCCCAACGTGTTTGTTATCATAACTATTAAATCTATTAGTTTACAATTCTTTACAAGCTTCGCCAATTTTTGGCGTACAGAACCGAGACTATATACTATGTTATTACTACTGTGGTAGTAGCTACCTATCTCTAATTACCGTATTTTTCGGCGTATAAGACAATACTTTTTTTACGGTTTGCCCTAGCCTCGACTTATGTAATGATTAATCATCAAAATTTCTCAATGTTTCGTAAAATAAATACGAGTTTTTGTAGCCGTGGACTAACCTACCAACAACAAAAAACTACCTCATATTATCTCACAATTCACACCGTTAGGTAGTATACAGTTCGCTAGCGTACAGTATACAACACAGTGTTATCTCTATCTCCGTCTTCTACTCCCTCCACTTCGACTTATGTATAAACAAGTAAAGAAAATACGTTTTCAAAAAGGAAGTAAATCTAAGGATGGCTAATATCAATCCTTCAAAAACAATGCAAACAAGATAAAAGAGATGGTATTTGCATTATTCCGACATAATAGCACAGGCACACAGTTGAGTAGAATGTTAACAGACAAAAATAGGATAAAATAAACTCAATTGCGATTGAATAGTTATATATATTGCTATATGTTAATTGGTACATATGCTATTATGTAGGGATGGTGCAAATGCCGTCCCTACTATCATCTTTGCATTGTTTTTGAAGGATTGATATTAGCCAACTCTACATTTACTCCTTTTTTGAAAAGTTTTTCTTTACTTGTTTTTTTAATGCAGTGTTTAAATAGACATGGGAAGGTTGTATTTATCACCAAGTTCTTAATACAACAAGGCTCCAATTGTAATATTTATTGTTTATCTGTTATTGGCTGGTAATTCTTGTTTCACCCTGGACTTAAGCTTTTTAAAGAAATGCCAAATTTCTGAAAAAAAACAAACTTCAAGGGATAATGATAACATCGTTTACACTAGAATTATGATTTTTTTAATTACTACTTGTTATTAATAATATTTATAAAAGCGGATACTCAGTTTGAAACTGTTACCCCATTTAAATTAGTTAATACCATTGTTTTGGTTTTTGAGTTATCATGTAATAAAAAAGAAGCAGAAAGATGAAGAACAAGAAATTCAAACTTTGGCTATGACATTTACAAATATTACCAGAACTTGTGACCCAGTCATTACATAGATATTGTTATAAAAGGAGACACTGTATAGTATTATAAAGTTCTGATGACCTATTGAGGAGATATTTAAAATGCCATTTCGATGAACAATCTGGACTTTCCCTATATAGGCAGTGGCACTGCCTGCCTGACAAGCTGAGTGATCATCATATGATAGGAAATAATGATTCATTTTTCTTACCAAAATCACAGGCGTATGAGGTGGAGGGGCAGTCCACTACAGCTTGCAATACATACGACCATTTGGGCAAATTTTCAGCTTTCATTCGGGCAATTACTAGTCATTGATGAAAGATATAAAAGCTTGTTCTTTTAATTTATCAATACTCAATTGTATTCAAAGAATAATTTCTATATGCGCACCATCACCACGTAAATCAGCATTGATATTGCAATGTAAAGGCTCCAAAGATTATTTTAGATTGGTCAAATTAAACGGTTTCGTGGTGATTAGCCCCAGTATCCATTTGTTCCCTAAACTTTATCTTTCTTACTCATAACCTCATTCCGGCAAAAATTGTATAGCCCCCCTCCCCTCTGAAAAATCCCCTTTACGACTATGCTCAAAATTATATCTAACTAAATGTTTTCTAAAATTTAAATGTTTTATGAACGCGTATTATCTAGTAACAATATATGTATGGAGAATGACTATCCTATTTTAGTATTTCACGAAAACAACGTTTTTTAGATATATTTGGTCGTCTTCTTTATGTATTGCTTGATTAGCATTTGGACCTCTGTATGTTTTTACGTTATGTTCAGATGTTCTTGATAAATCCTTATAGATTGAAATATGCGAAAAAACTGATTCTCAAAGACATATTTCTTCTTGGTCAACTGTATGACCCTGCAAATGATTAATCATGAATTTTAGTGTCTTCTCTTTGGACTGTCTACCTAGTTTTGGCTTTGTTAGCCTGCTGAGCTGAAGAAGCGCACTTTAATATGGGCAATTTCAGAATTGAAATGTGTACGGGTAATTATAAAGTTGTAGTCGAGGGTTCGGATTGGACAAAATTTGGTAATGTTGCATCAATATGTCTCCTTGACAACCAACCAAACGTACTGAGGAATTTCAGCCAATGATTATGATTTTTGTGCACCAGCAATACCACAGTGAGACGCGCTTATACCCGATTTGATTTTATTACTCATCACGACCTCTATCAACTTATCCTCAAATCTACACTAATTATATGCCCAAAGTAGAGCATGGTCCGTTTTATATATATATGGCTGGAACAATTTTAAAAAAGACAAACTTGCAGTTTGTGGCAGAAAGCGCCGTCGTTTCGTGTTAATCGATACCGCAACGGCTGAGATATCGGCGTGACACCCTTTTCGTCTTTATATAGTACATGAAGGTTGGAGAAAATGAGAAATTTAACCCATTCGACTTATACGTCGAAATATACTGCACGATATTGTTGTATAGTACTATGATGTAATCACAATATTATTGTTTATCTTGTAGATCTGAAATACCATGGAAAACAGCGTGGATTTTCCAGTGATCGCGTGAACCTGAGTTCCATCAGTTTGGTTCTTAGTGATAACTCCGTAGATGTTTTGATTTCGATGCATGGTGAGATTTGTGATTGTCACATTTAAAATTTAACTAAAATAAAGTTTATTACATTGTTTGCATTAACATCTTCTAGTAAGGTAATAATTTTCTATTTTTGTTTGTTTGTTTGTATTTAAGCACAAAGCTACACAATGGACTATCTGTGCTATGTCCACCACGGGTATCAAAC